CCTCCCTTGCTGCATTCACTGTTTGATAAAACAATGTATCTTATGCCTATTGGTAACATTTGCAATGAAAATGCAACCAGTTGCATCTGGTTTTACCTACAAGTTACTTTGAGATGTAAATATTATAAAAGAGTAACCTAACATTTACAGTTAATCTACACTCTGTCTGCAAAACCAGGAATTAAGACTAGAAAGCAGATTCATTCATAGCACAGATCAATGTCAAGATGATGGGGCATCTTTGATCACTGTTGTGTTGAATATTTAACAGTTAGTTTTTGCCAACACCGGAGAAACCTAACTGCAAGTAGCACATTTTAGTTTCAGTCAGTCAAGAGAAGGTAAAGAGCTGTGATAAACAGTCAGCACCGTCAATACATAAGCATTATTTGACCCGTTGACAGTAATTAGAAATATTATCTATAAGAAATAAAAATGATACATCATTTCTTCTGAGCTTTTGGGGCTAAAAATAGGCATTAAACTAAATACCCAAGCCTCTTTTTTTTTTTTTTTTCTTTTTAACTTCTAGCAACAACCTTCACACCGCTGAGACTGCTAAAGGCGATTTCCATGGAAGTGTGGCCTTAGGATTATATGTGCGAAGTACAACCTCACATGAGGTCTTCTCCAAAGAAGTCAGACATCCACTGTGAGGAAATTATATAGCTAAGAAACATTTTTTCCTGCATGAGTTACAACTGAAAGTCTTGGTGCATCCACCTGCTTGTATCAAATGAATCCTTAACATTTGCCTAGCAGCTGTCATGTGTGAGCTGCTTACTGGAAGCTTTGTGATGGCATCATATTTCCAAGAATCGAGACAGATATTTATTTATCTGCAGAAAACAAGAATAAGCAGAGAGAAGAAAAAGATTTCACCTTCACACACAGGCAGATTTTTTGTTTGGTTGGTTTTGTTAAATCAAAGAAAGAATACACAGCAGAAGCTGATTGGAAGAAATGCTGACTAAACAAACTGCTCAATCTGAACTGACTTCACTGCCACAAGGTGGAGAAAGGTACAAACAGAACCAAAAATGGTGCCAAAAATGTGCTCTCTGGGGAAGCAGAAAATCCACTTCTGTTCTCAGCTCTGCCACTGTAAATCCACATTAACTCCGAGCATGTGACATGAGCTGTCCTGGACGTACAGCAGTGTATCGTGGGCAGATGTGGCTCATGTTGCCCTGCTAACACGGGCACATTATAGCCATGTATGCATGCAGACAGCAAAGTTCTTACTTCCTTTGCACAGAAGAAGTAAGAGATCAACAACAGCAACTCACTTCTAGGTAACCTAGAAAAGCAGCACCCTTCTCACCGCAGACGGGTCTTCTCCAGAAGCAAATTTGTCACTCTTTTCAGTGACATAATGCTATGCACATAAACATCTTCTTCCCCAGTAACAAAATATTTCTATTTTAACTGCTACAAACAACTGACAACCGTGCACAGAGCTATTTCAGTAACAAGATCAGTACTGGAGATTGCAAAAAGTAATCTGCTTACAGGGCTCATAATTCATATATGAAAGGAACATATTCGTAAGTGTTCTAGAGTGTGTGCCTCAAAGATGTTATGAACACAAACATCTATTGAGTTAGACCTAATAAAAAATTTAGATTTTCATTAAGAAGCCCATGTATGACATACAGCAATATACTGATGCTGACAATGAAAAGGCAGATATTAAAATCTATGTAAAGTAATCTCCCCCTCAAAACAGACATAAAAACCTGAGCACTAAAAATCCAAGAGTTCCTGGCATTGTGTATACAGCAGCATTTCTGTACTTTCCCCACCTTTTCCTCCCAAACTCCCTCAGCCAGAGTACTCGGTACCCTAGCAACCCATTTATACTCAGCTAGCTGTCCACCATCATTATCTGCACCACATTCTGCCCTCGTGGATGACCTTAAACTGCAATCCTGGAAAATACCTTGCTCACCAACCAAAAGTGTCACTTGCTATAATTAGCATTCTGGAAGCTAACAACACAGCCACGAAGGCAATGAGAAAGACACATGTCCTGCCTTAGTGCAGTGTATATCAAGTGATCAGCCAGATGACCATTAAAGCAGTGAAGCCTTTATTCATATGCCCAACTCACCCGCCTCAACCCATGACCTGTCTCTACACGGTTTTCCTTACAGGGATGAATAATGAAGAATGAGAAACATCTGACTTCAAACAGAACAACAGTCTCAAAATCAGGCTGACATTCAGCAAGCAACAGCTCTTGCCGAGCACATGCAACTTGACAGTAAGGACATTGCCTACTTCAACTTACCCCCTCATGGAGGACAAGAAAATGCTTTATCTCCATTGCAAAATTTTAATCTATTAAATATTATCACCATCATCTTGTTCCAATTTGGCCAGATTTAATACATTGAAGAAATACTAAAACTACTAGTGCAAAGCTTTATGCAAAAATACCATGTAACATAAATTAAAGAGCTTGGTGCTCCAGGGTTGCTGAGAACCATTTGACACTAACAAATTGCATTCATGTAAATCCCCCCCATTAAAATAAAACAAAACCAAAACCCACCAGACTGCAGCCTAATTCCTAATTCATTTTTAGTTAAAATTAATTAGGGTTTCATGTATAGTATCAAGCAGAATAGTGAACACTCCTTCTAGTGATAACATTTATTATCAGGATAATTTTGTGTACATAAAACAGCCTATTCCAAAAAACAAAGAATCCCTCTAGTTAAAACTGAGAAGAAAAACAACTTAAGAGCAGATGCAAGAAATGTATTTTTATTTGTGTAAACTAAACTTTTAACTACTGAACAAGTCAAAGCCATTAAGATCTTGGGAGAAATCTTCCAAGTCCTATGACCACTAGACAGCACAGAATGGATTCAGCAGCCATATCTGTCCTTTCCCATGACAAATGGCTATTCTACAGTAGTACTTAATTGCTGCCAGGGACTGAACCACAACAGTCCTTCTCTATGGGCTATGATCTACAGGTTTTTGATAGACTAATTAGCAACTGGAAACAAGAGCCAGTATCTTTCATTTGGTGCAATACTTACATATTCCCTCAAGAGAAAATCTGTGGCAAAACGTTCAAGACTGGCTGTGCAACTAGCATGAATGACAAAAGCCAAAATATATCCCTTTTAGTGCCTTTGAAACATGAAATCAACAATTTTGATAAACGAGAAGAAATATAAACTTGGACTGGACTCCACTGACAGTACGTAATTATGCTAGAGAAATATTAATCTGATACTCTTTTCTATATTTAACTGGCTTTTAGCTGTGTTTTATTTCAGTTTTAGGGGAGTCAGTGGCTATCCAGCTTACTTTCCAAACCATTAGTCACTTCACGGACAGCAACTGCAAATTAAAATGTGGAAAATCCAGTACTAGTTTAGCAGAGAGCTGAAGAAAATTCAGCCCTGTTTGCAACCCTAGTTCAGTATACCTGACCAAAGAAACGAGTGTCTTCCCAGGCTGCAGAAATGCCCCAGTTCTTTTTCATTAATTTTCACTATGAGAGGCATAAGTTTTATAAGCTCATTTTGAATGTGCATCTATTAGAAAGTTAATGATACAATGATTATTTAATGCTACATTTAAATAACAATAGTAACACTAAAGATTTTTAACCAGTGATATGTAAAAGTGACAGTAATGGATGCTGAAGTTATTCAGAGCCACCTCACAAGTGACAATTTGGGAAATGCCTGAGTAGACACTCAGGAATTCCTGAGCAGTAATTCTGTTGAAAGAAAACTGGTGGGAACAGAGGTGAGAATGTGAGATAAACAGGAGAGGCTTCTCAGAAGTCAGTTACATCTGAAAAAAGAACATGCTTATTAAAATGCAACCATTATAGGCTGAGTCAATACCTACAGTGCTCTGTCTGCTCTTACTATGGGGAATAATTTGAAACTGTAAGTCACTGTTATCACCGTTTTCAGAATATTCTTAAATGATCAGTGTCGCCATAACATGAGGAAAAAACATTGACACGAAACATCTACTGTAACAAACTAAATTCCACAATTCTGGCAATTTCAACAATAAAAACTACAATGTCAACGTAATCTCTACAATCAGTTTGTAAGATCAGCTGGTTTTCTTTGTAGCAAATTCAGAAGTAGTGCAAGGAGTAATTTCTAAAAGTAACATAACCATAACAGTTGGTGTGCAATTTAACTGCTGATTTAAACCAGCTAGCTGTCGCAAGTAACTTCCTTAAACTGCCTCTAAAATGGGCAGACATGGAAAGGAAGAGTAAAAACAAAATTGTCAACAACCGGCAGCAGAAATGCTGAAGATATATACTGAAGAACTTCCAGCTTAAGTAAGGAGAAATTCATTCCAGGATCTAAGCAATTCCTAAGCAATCCCATTCAAAGAGAAGCTGATTTCTTTTTTGTTAAAGTTATGTTTGAGAAATTCAATTTCCAGCTGTCAGCACTGATAGCCACTTACTCTGCACCGAAGTCGGTGGGAGGTTCCACCCTTACACACACACACACACATACACACACACGCACATACACACGCCCGAAAATAAAACTCAAAAAAAAAAAAAAAAGAAAAATCCATTGGAATTTTACATGGCTATTTTATCTACCTTATCCTCAAAAAAATTAACTTCCAAATTAAATAAATGAAAGCTGGTATCAATGCAAAATATAGACAACTACTCTTAAGGACGTTATTTATGGTATATGTCCGCTGTGTTTTAGCAAACATGCTATAGCAAAACACTAAAATCAAATTGCAATGCTACAGTAAACAGTGTGGCACAAACCTCCCTGCAGAATTCCTTCAGATTAAAAGGCAAAACATTCCTGACAATCTGTGACACAAAATACAACCCAAGCAACACTCAAAATACCAAGGACCTGGAAGCACCATGCCATTAAATACTTAGGTCCCCCGAATCCAAACCTGAAGAGGCAAAACAAGAGGGAAAAATAGAAAGACAGACAGAAAGAACTAAACAAACAGAACAACCTTACCTTTCACAAGCTCGGACAGTCCATGCAGCAATTATCCATAATGAGATACTAAAAACCAACAGTACAGTTCCTGGACATATTGTCATTAGGGTCTTCATAACAAAACGGGTATTGAAGTTTATCTTATTTAATGCTCCAATGCTTCTAGATGAGGCATCAGTGAAAAGTTTGCTATGCAAAAGCATAACTCTGGCAATAAGATATAGTCTTAAGAACATTGGTATAGATAAAATAATATCCACATCAGCTGTTGTTGTGGATGGAGCGTAAGAAAAGGCGAGCCGGGCTGTCCATGTGAATGTATAGTTCCCGGGTATGGGATGTATAGCACACACCAGTATTTCCAAGCAGATAAAGAAAATACGCTCATAAGTCATGGCTATTCTCCAGTCATCTGCTCCATTGTCCACCATGAACAACTGAAATAATAAAATATAAGGTTAACTTTAGTACGTCATTAACAAACCTTGTTATAATTCCATTTTAAAATACCATAGTTTTCAGAGCTGCCACTAAAAAGAAAATAAATACGCCATTCCAGAAAATGACATTACTACATTACACTATGAAGTGAAACTTAACTCTGGTTATGAAAAAAAGAATTTTTTTCATGCACTAATTTTACAACTGTACATGAAACTGAATTTTTACATATTACTAAGAATTTCTCATATTTTCTTTAATTGTCATTTCTGGTAAAACAAAACCCTGGAGCAATTAAGCCTCTTTCCTTCGATATCAATTGCTTACTCTAAGTTCATAAAATTGACAAAAATTTAAGAAGGTGTTCTCAGAACGTGTGTCTAAATTACAAGTGGAAAATACTTTCTAAAATGCACTTTTAAGCCAGCCCTAGAGCGTATCCATGCTTCAGCCAGGGTGATATGATAGCTTCTGTAGAACTATCCAAGCTTTCTTCAATCTTCAGGCACCAATACAGATCAATGTAGGATGCAAAACAACATGAGAAACTACACGAAAAGACTCAAAAATATAACCCATAGTAAAAGTCTGAAAAGCAAAAGCTGACAAGTATCAGAGTAGCCCAGGGAGCCAGAACATGTCTACTACTAGCTGAAAATTAAATGCACATGTTGGTTCTTGCACAATCAAAGCCTTCCATTTGCCACTGAGGAGCAAAGGTGCTGAAACATTTTACCCTGTTTAGTAAAGGTTGTACCTGATGATTTAATAAATACTTAATCAAACAGTATTTGTCTCGAGTAGAAGGTAGCAGTACGCAAGAAGTTGCAAACAGGCAACTTTTAAAAAAAGGAACATAACCTATAATGACAAAGAAGATGCAATCTCAGTGACAGGAGAAGACCTTCTCACCACTTAACTATAGTACAAACCTATTTAAGACCGTTCAGTAAACAGGCAAAAGAAAATAAAATACTTTTGCAGGATTTTTAAAATCAGATTATTCAAAAAATAATGGGTGAGAAGGAAAAGTACACAAAGAATGTCCTCCTTAATGTAAGAAAAATATTTTCAGGACGCTACACACCATATGCACAGACAAAAACCCAATTACCCATCTACACTGCTCTTTGTTCCTTTCCATCTTTCAAGAGCTTAAAAACACAAGCCTGATATCTCTGAATACGATTTTTTGAGATTATAAACACACTCTACATCCTCCTCCAAATACATTCTATTTGACTTTCAACAAATTGCTCCAGTCGTTCATTTAGGAAAGTGAAAACCACAAATTAACTTTATTGTAGCTGAACCGATACTAAAAGAAGCAAAGAAATTAGCAGTAGTAAGGAGCAAACCAAAGGTATGTATTTGTGGACCTGTTTTTCACCCCTTTATGTTCTTTCCTTCCACCTTACTGTATTGGGGGTTGGTGACAAGGTTTTGGAACTGGGGGGGCTGCAGGGGTAGTGTCTGCGAGAAGAGGTCAGGGGCTGCTCTGCAGCGGACACATGTAGGACATAGCTGAGCTCATCAGTGAAGATGGTGGTGCTTTCTGTGCAAGTATATGTAAGAAAGGGCAAAATGCTGCCCAGGCAGTGAGGAGGGAGGGAAAAAAGTGTGAGAAACAACTCTGGAAATGCTAAGGTCAGAGAAGAAGAAAGGGAAGGAGGTTTCCCAGGCACTGGAACAGAGATTTACCTGCACCCCATGGAGAGGACCATGGTGAAGGAGGTATTTCCCTAAAGCCCGTGGAGATGACCACGCTGGAGCAGATACTTATACTGCAGCCCATAACCCTGTCCCCGACCAAGGTGGGTATTTCCTGAAGGAACTGCCACCTTAGGAGAGGACCCACACTGGAGCAGAGCATGAGGAGGAAGGAGTGGCAGAAAGGAACCGGACAGACTACTGTCCCCCTTATCCCCTGTACCATGGCAGAGAACACAGAGAAGTTGGGCATGAAGGAGAGATGTTTAGCCTAAAAAGAATGGGGCGGGCAAGGTGGTTCAGTTTCTGTCTTTGTTTCCCACCATCCTGTTCCATTAACTGCCAATAAATTAAATTAATTTTGCCCAGGTTGAGCCTGTTTTGCCAGTGTTGGTAAATGGCAAGGGATCTCCCCATCTTTATCTCAATTCTCAAACCTTTTCATCTCATTCTTCTCCTTGTCCTGTTGAGAAGGGAGAGTGAGAGAGCAGCTGGGTGGGCGTGTGGCAGTGGGCCAAGGTGAAGCTACCACACTTAACTATAGTTCTTAACGTCCGCTATTAAAGACAATGAACACAAATAGTGCTGTATTAAGCTAAAGAAACACACTTGGGGAATTCAATGTATGCAGCATGAGGACATACACTGTCTTTTACCTGTGGTCATTCTGCATACTTCGCATACTAGAGAGATGAATGGATACTGAAGGGCAATTGATGTATACGCGTATGCATGCATGTATTACCGAAGAAGTGCTAGTCTGCACTTCGCAAATGTACCATGTGATATGAAGGGCCAAACATTCAGAGTACAGTAAGGCTCAAGTGCATTTGATTCTTGTGTAAATGCCGTCTGTCAGATCACAGGAGTGTGTACATCACTTATGAAAAGGTCCAGGTATTTAGAACACCCAGAATACAGATGAACAGTAACCAGCTTGACTGAAGAAGAGATAGATAATATAAGATTTTTCAAATGCTGTATAGGTTTCTGAATAAAAGAATAAATTAAAAACAAAGTTAAATATTTCAATTCTCAGGTACCTAGTTTCAAAATTTCTTTCAAAGTTCTAAAATCTACTGAAGAAAGCAATAGTCTTTCATCCTCCCTATCATCTTCACAGATTTCAAAAAGAATTCTATATGAAGAAAGACAATTCAAGAAAAATTATAACTTAAGTACTGATTCAATTTAAAAGATGAGACTAGAAGATTGTTCGGTTAAACATAGGCATTAAAATTTGATATTATAATTTTCATAGAAGAAAATTTTATTTAATCACTGAGTTTTTCAAAAACTTCAAGATATCATTATGGAATACACACTTGATAACATATTCACCTGTCAGCAGAAGAAATCTTAACATGCTGCAAAGAAGGAAGTTTTTCAGTAGTGATTAGTGGAAAGGGTTCCCTATCAACTTCCCTTGACCTCAGCTGTGCCTATTTCTTCTGAGGAAAATAATGTTTTCAAGTGATAATATCTTCAGCTGTCATATAATGAGATTTTGGAGGTGAAAACATGGAAGGTAGAAAGCACCAGAAGCCACAAAGGAACACAGGTTGAGTACAAATATTTCTATTTCACAGAAATACTAACATTTCAAAATTGTATTTATGGAGAAAATTTTCTTACTATTGTGTGTCTCTAAATTCAAACTATGACAGATATCAAATACCCTGGAACAAGTATGTGCCCCTAAAACAGGCAGTCAATAACAATTAAATTGGGACATAGCAAAATGACACAGAAATCAGTACAAGATTTCATGTACGTTTAATATACTTACAATTTTGCAATCTACTAAATGCAAGTTTCACTTTTAATTTGGAAGATACAGAGGTATTTGTGTGTGCCTGCATGCTCGGCTGGGCACATTTCCTATTCAGAAAGCAAAGAAGGTAAATGAAGAAGAGAAAGAACAGCTGAGCAGCACAATTTAAAGGGTACATATACACCCTCTCAGCTGTTTTCAGTCAATCCCGTTATAATAACCATGCATTAATTGCAAGATACTACTCCCCATTTGAATGGATTCATGCTAGCAATAAAAAGAGAACATCATAAATGACTGAGCAAACTCTTCCTATAGAACTGAGCCCTGCACTCCCAGAGAAGGCCAAACTCCAGTCAAGGTCAAAGATGTTATGCCTGTTCATAGCTTTCCAATTTCTTATTATTATTCAATGTTGAAATTGAAACACTTCATCAGTGCTTCTTCAAATACAGAACTCTCATATATCTTCACTAAATCTGCGCTCCGTAAGAAAAATCTCATTTATTTTCACCTGAAATTATCTAATGTATTTCCAGAATGTTGTATGTAAAGCATAAATCAATCTTTAACTTGAAATAAACTTGATATTTGTAATGCCACACAGCAAAAACATACAAACAAATATCATATCATAGGTATTTATGTATATTTACATAACACTTTATTAAATACATATAACATCGGATGAGAAAAAGAGAAACACATTCAGACAAGACAGACTACAAACAATGACAACTTAGATCAGAGACTACCTGAAGCTACTTAAAACAAAAGAACATAAGTTAATTTTGTAAATCATTACTATATCAGAACAGATTCATAGCAGGCTATTAGAGGATGTTGATGAATGCAAAGAACAAGGAAACAGTTTATAAAAATGTCTTTACAATCCAGGTAAAAGTACAAATCTGGAAACAATCACTAAGCTGCTGTTACACTGTGGGGATATGTTAAAAAGGAGTACAAAGGCATCAATAAACAGTGACAAGGTAGCATCAGCTGTACTCCTGGATGCATTCCTTGCAAAAGGGGAATCAACCATATTCCAAACATACCGCTGCAATTGTCTAATTTAAAAACCCAGATTTAAGAAAAAGACCACTGTGTTACCCAGAGAGGAAGAACATACTGCTTTTGTCTCACTACTCCAAACAGCCAAGTTATTGCCCCACAGCATGTCTAAATGATTTAAAACCATGAGGTGGTGGGAGATACACATCTTAAGCATTTAACACAGCTCTCCATAACGAGGAATTCAGAAAGACCTACTCCTATCACCAGAATGCATATAATCAAATGATCTGTAAGTTATCTACAGCCTGCCCTTGACCATGGAGAGCCTACAGGAATTCCTCAGGGCTGCTGTACTCCTCATCCTAAATGCAACGCCACAGAGCAGAGACGTTAGTGGATTTAAGTCATACATAAAGTCTTGAGGCAGCAAACACCTTCTGCATGCAAAGCACAGAAGGCAAATAATATGTTTTTCACAAAATTACATGAGGGCT